AGTGGACCGCACAGATCGTGGTCGTAATGCATGTGTGGACCTCGAGCCATACACACTCGTGGTACCTTCTGTCCATGTGCCTCTCTCTTTCAGTATAGAATAACCAGCGTACATATGTCGTCACTCTACTCTCAGTGATTCACGCTCCTCCCATGTAGATGTCTCTTCCCATGCCTACGTTGCCTCAGTGGTAGACACAGTATATCTCTGTTAGGATATCGACACGATTTTTACAAACCACCTTCTCATGGGGCAATGTTGCTCTATACCCCGTGCCCATCTACTCTCCGTCAATATTCAGTAAGCATCGAGTTCTATCATGCTAACCTCAACGCACCGCATCATATCCGCCGACGAAATATTATAGAAATTGTCCCTTCTCCCTCAAGTATCATCTCGAAGATAGAGTGCGTCCTAATCGCGACACTAACCCTACTTACTGATACCGTTGCCCTGCACTGTTGCCTAAATCGATGACGTATCGCAGTCGTGTAACTCACCACTCTTCTACCGAATCGCGTTGCAGTAGCTCATATATAACCCGCTATAAGGACTACTTAGTTCCTTCTGGCATTACCCGCGACTCTCTCTGAAGATCACCGATAATGTCTGTGTGCCCATCCATGCGTCAGCAGCCTAATGTCTTACTCACCTAGCCACGTGCGTCGATAAGTATCAGCTCAGTCAGAGCACACCTGTCTCACGCTCATCTGCGCTGCATACCCCCATAGCGTCATCCAGACTGTGCTCAGTGACTGTCTTAGGGCGTTTCTCTAGCGACCAGGTTAGATACACATAGCAGCGTGCCCTCCAAGCTGCCACGGCACATGAGAGCATAGGTACCATATTCCGGATATTGTGAGTATAGAATCTCGCTCGCTACAACGCTCGACGACCTCGACATCACGCGCTAGTTTATCAAACACCGTCGAGACCGGCTAACGGTGCTCACCTCATTACTGCGCTCAGACCTTTATGACGCAAGTTACGCTCCTACAAGCGAGTCTACAGGGCCTAAGCGCCGTTTAGAGAGAGTGTGAAGATCTTGTGCTCGACAGGCTGTGTTTCTGAGTAGGCCCGGACATGTCTCACAGGCAGATAGAATTGAGTTACATCCAGGAGGCCTCATACCACGGACCTCGAACCTAACGCCGGCGGCATGGTTGGGACCTAGCGCGATTCAGTCCCTTGCCGACGCTCTGTTATCAGAGAGTGGTACAGCCGGAAGTTAAATTTTGTGGTCCGATGACTGATATGTAGATAAAGTCCCAGTCACCTGATGGCGCGGACGAGAACTCCGTAGAGCAGATGTAGTGTGTCCTGCATTCACTGACATTACCATGTTTGATACGTTTTGTAGCTTGCAGCCATCGTGCGTAGCCTAAGGAACAAGGTGCACCCGAAGATGTTACTGGGTTCGGTATAAAATCTTGTGTCGCCTAGTGCCTGACACTGCCTGTGTGATACTGGCTTATCCTGAGCCGTGGTTTGTAACATGTTCCTGTTTAGATCGATCCTCAAGAAACACAGTTCTACGAATGTCATCAGGCTATGCACTGCTTAGAACATGACTTGGCTATCGTAGGTGGACAACCACTACTTGAGAGAAGAAAATCGTGTCTGGTATCTAACGGCATGGCGCAATGACTGTGAGCTGATAGAAACAGTGAGAAGAGACTTTGTATAGAGGGACCTGCACCTTACCATACGTCGGAATAACTCTAGATGAGAAGCTGCTCAGAGTGTGAAAGGATCCAGTATTATGTATGCACTTCCATCACCCAGAAAGCAGATTTTACATCCAGAACCTTGCTGGAACCTCCATGGGGATACTATGCCTTGATTTCGCCCCTCCCATTCATCTCATATCCTATGAGTTAAAGCCCTGTAAAGTGACTGTTAGTAATACCCCACCTTACTCCAGTCTGTGATTTCACGTGTGGGATAACCTCTATAACCATCGCTCCCATTCTCCACGCGTTCACTGCGACACCTGGCACCCATCTCCCCGCCCCCCCACGCGCTCGCGGCTCTTAGTCTGCTAGAGTTAAATGAGAAAGTCCACGACCGGATCTCTTCATGATCGCCCCCATTCGAAGTGGATTCCTCGCACGCCAATGTATACCAAAATGAGGTCTATACCCAGATACCCCACCATTCCACAAGATAATGTATCTACAGGATATATCTCAGACTCTAGCGATACTTGTCGAGAGCACATGACTAGACAAGTGATCGGGTCGACCGACTCCTATCATGGAGTTGCCGTGTGGCCTGCCTGACCATCACTCATACTATGTTATGTGTGTTTCTACTAACCCGGCCACTGAGCTGAGTGATCTGTGACGCGATAGGAGATTTACCTGTGAGTGCTCTGTGCGTCTCACCCTGCTCCCATCAAGACACATAGGGATCATCGCGGGACGGTCGTTAGTAGCTTCGAGCGCGGCTCCGAACAACGAAAAGCGAACGCTGACCGCTTGAGAATAGTACCGCGCGGGCGGCTGAGAAGAGCGCGTACGCAATAGAGGAGACTCTGCTCTCAATCGACGACGAGCAGCCATGTCTGAACCCTCTCCTCACGCCATCGCACTTAAGACTCTAAACCTACCTATCGAGCCTAGGGTGACAATTTCGGGCGCGATACTGCGATAACTGACATAACTCCAGGAAGCCAATCGCTAGTAATCCTAACGGTACTACAAGTCACTGATTGTACAACGAGTTAATAAAGGTTAGGCAAACCAGACAGTGCAAGAGGAGCACCGTTAGGCTTGAACGTTTCGAGTAAATGACGCGCCAATTAAAACTTCAACGCTAATAGAGATTTAGAAAATACATTCCTAACACAAAGATCAGTCGAGATGGTATGGGCTACATCCTCCTCGCAACCTGAAAATTCCCTTTTAAAAAGCGGTCGATTACCCCCTCGAGCATCCATCCTTCGAAGGCGCTCCATCTAGTGACTCCGCGCCATTTCAAATCTCGCCCCCCCCACCAACCAAACAGAATATCTACAATGCCTAGACACTACATTGAGCTTCACTCACCCCCTCATGATACCCTCCAGACACCATCGCTAACGTACTCTCAGATAAGGTGGTGTACCTAGTCCTCGTGTCAGAGTGCGAGCGACGCAGTTGTTCAAGACCTTGCCCTTGATGTGCTAGATCGTGGAACTACGTAAGTGGTCAGTAGTGCTATACCCATCTACTATTTCCCCATTCCGGAAACCTATATCACCATCCACGACATTAGATGAAACTCACCGTCTTAGTGATATCACACACAAACCTACCTCCACCTTGTTGTTGAAGGAGAGCTACACACAGCCAGTAGATTGTATCGAATATCACGCCGTAAGCTCGACTACGATTAGAACCCACCTCGAATTCACTACTATTAGACCATAAATCCCCAATACTTCACGCCTTGATGAGTGTCATATCCTAACCTACCTCTTCCCCACCTCCCCCCAAGTGCTACCCATCTCCCACTTAACACCTCTGTAAATCCTCTTTAATTCCTCCCTGTGTTCCAATGTTCCTCAAGAGCGTATTAGACTAATAATCGTATCTAACTCTCTTCTCATCTAAGACCCAGATTATTCTCCACACACCGGAGTACCACGTATCTTCTACTGTCTCTCCAAGTACCCCTCCTCCGACAATCCCTCGATAAGATACCTACCCTAGCTCTCTGTGGTCGTTATTGAACTGAAGGACCACTCTCTCTCCATTGACCCCAATGAACTGTTCCTATAAATACAATACGAATATAAACAATTTCCATAAAAAAATTCTCACCTACACTCCCCAACACCACTCCAACCATAACACACCACCAAATTAACTAACCCCCATACCTCACTATTCCCTTCCAATACTACCTAACTTAAACCAAACCTACAATCCATATAATCTAATACTCCACCATACCCCAAACACACCTTCTTAACCCCCCTCTCCCTCCCCCTATTAAACCAACCTATCCTACTTTCACATTCACCCTCTACACCCATCATTCTCCCAACACTCATAACAAACCCCTGGTCTCTATAGATCAAACCTTGTCCTATACGTACTGTGCTGACCCACATCCCCACCCACAGCACATCCCATATTGTCATCATATCTCAGCCCTACTTACAACCCTACCGCTGCCCTATGTCGCAACGCTTACATAGCACTCTGTCAGAAAGTCTCCTAGCGCTACCTCTCTCACTCCATCAAATACATGCCAATATTCAGACTCATCGTGTGCCCCATCTGCCACTCGTGTCATCCCCTACAGTGCACTTATCGTAATCCTAGAGATGTCACATTCACCAGAGACCCTCTCCCCACCCTCACTCGACCCACGCCATTCCAATTTAATACCCCACACCCTGGCGAGGCGCTAACAACCACGCACTTTATCCACGGCACTTTCAGAGTCCTCCACAATCGACACGCCAACTTCTTAACCATCCTCCGAAAATCAGAGTTCACCTCCCCGCGTGATACCAGCCCGTTGCGTTTTGAACTCCCTAACACTATATCCCCCCTCTATGTGTCTATCGCAGATCTGACTATAGACAGCATGTCACTCCGACAATAAACCCCTTTCTGTCACATTCCCTTCCACCTTAACATCCTATCCATCACCTCAGTTGATCCAACGCCTGCTAGACTAGTGATATATCCTGAAACGTCGAAGATAGATGGTTCTCTATAACCTACTCGAACCTCGACGCCCAGGAATGTTGCCTGGACCTCAACCAAAACACACTTACCCATAAGACTCCGTGTTCCTACCTGCCCTCTCTTCGTGTCTCTCAGCACCAATTAGCCACTGGATCGCACCGTACACCGCCTATACATTATCCCGCTTCACCCAACACAAACCCCCCTGTATGCCATGTGTGTGTGTACTCTGCTACACACGTAGATACTGATCACTGTTGCATGCTCCACGAAGAGAAGAAAAGACAACTGAAAATGTGCGTCCCGAGCTCTAAAATGTCTCGTCTCGTGAGGACTCCTGCGCTCATGTCGCCAGTATCCACATGTGGCAACCACCGATACCTGACCCGTGAGCTCAGATCGTCCTTACGCAGTAGTACGTCTCTGGCTCGCGCCGGCATCGTAGAGGTCTGTCTTTTCGCCATCGACGAAGATGTCAAAGAGGACTACCTCGCGAGATACACGACCAATACCACCTCTGCCCCCCTGCGCCCCAATCCCCCCGACGAACGCCTTGGTCACCCTCACGGACCCCGATCTATAGTTTCGCGTTCCTCTGTATCTGTAAGTGCCGACTCCTGTGAGAACTCATCGTACTAAGTCGATATCTGATCACGCCAGTGACATGTCCGGCTGTAAATTACACGCTGGAACACCCATGCCGTCTTAAGTTTTGAAGCAAATCGCCGTACTGATATGCGGTTCCTCCGGGTATAGCCACTGCCCACTCTGCACACTACACGCTCACTTAGACTCACTACAAATTCTATCCCGCAAGGGAATTACCCCCCCACCTAGCTACACTAGCTTGCACTCCCTAGCAGTGACTACCCTGTCAGCCTTTGTTCCAAGCCCCAATGCATCTCCCCGAAGCAGATTCTGTCGCCATAAACGCATACCACCCCACCAACCTATCCCATACGTAAAGCCGCCGCCTATATCCTGTACCAGCGCTCGATACACGAGAATACTCCCCTATAGACCTTTGTAGTCACTCTACCAGAATCTGACTGTGTTGTTGACGATGATATTACCCCGTGTGATCTGGTGTGTTCTTGGCACGTAATCTTACCACATACCATATGTATAGTTGTGTATTGCACACTACATGAAGAGCGACTGTCCCTTTTTGTGTTCTGCTACTATCATCACGGGCCGTCGAAGCAGCGGTAGCGTAGGTATTCGCTCTCAATCCGGCGAATACTTCCTCATACTGGATATAATAAAGAAGCCCCTTCGACTTTTACGTGCTGCCCCACACTACCCCATCATGTGGACGTATCGGCTGCCACGTGATCCGGGGACATTGTGACGCAATGCGCCGTTACAGAGAAATGTAGACTCTCTCTACATCACGGGCTGTTGATCACTAGTAGAGTCAGTTATACAGATAGTCGCTCGAGACTCCGTCATGTCGCTACGATAATTATCTGCTAGTAGGTCCACATCACGTTCTGTGTGATAGAGAAGCGAGAGTATCGATGCTGCTGTATCGGCAAGCTTCTCGCACGATGCCTTGGCAAGTTAATTCCCTTATACCCCACCCCCCCCCCCAATCTTTATGAAGCCATCCACTATAATATTCTCGGTAGCTGTACTATCTATTTTATGTAGGAGAGAGCTAGGAGAAAACCTAACTTTATGCAGGCAAGGTTTTACTAATGTTGAATAATTACACACGTGCATTTAAATATATACGACCCAATGAGCCCTGTAATGCATTTTACTGACAACGTCTAATTTTATTATTTAATTCATCGACTCTTTAAATCACTTATCCAGCACCCTAATACTTAAAAATCCCCCCCCCCCACACCCCCCCCCCCCCCCCCCCCCCCCCCCCCCCCCCCCCCCCCCCCCCCCCCCCCCCCCCCCCCCCCCCCTCCAGCCCCCCCCCCCCCCCCCCCCCCCCCCCCCACCTCACCCCCCCGCAACACCCCCCCCCCCCCCCCCCCCCCCCCCCCCCCCCCCCCCCCCCCCCCCCCCCCCCCCCCCCCCACCCCACCCCCCCCCCCCCCCCCCCCCCCCCCCCCCCCCCCCCCCCCCCCCCCCCCTTGATCAACACTATCCCTCTCATACAAGGTTTGTACGCCAGTGCGGGTACGCTCTGGTAATCTCTGCACCATTTTACTTCATTGTGATAGAGAGGGCCTCATGCGTGGCGTTCTAGCCGCGAACAGAATATAGAGAGCGTTGTTCTCGGAAGAGTGTGTGTTCTGTAGCATGTGCAAGAGAAGAACCGACGTGACAGTCTCCCTACCACTAGCGGCTGGATCGCCTCAGAGCAGAGAAGAAGTCGTCGCAGTCTACTGCAATGTCCTCAATCGCAAAGTTCAGGGATTTCAAAATCAAATCCATTTTCACATCGAGCGAAGCAATAGAGGCGAGCTTGGCTATCGCCTACTCAACACTTGCCAAGCTTGAGACAAACGCTGAAAGTTTAGCCCCGGTGAGAGTCGAGCGCGTCGATCTCTGAGCACAACATTCAGCACAGCTGAAAAGGAAGTGAACGCTAGATGATAGTATTTTGTACTGGTCTGCGTGTAGACCGGTACAGATTTCGTGATACCAGCGGCAGCAGACCTCACGCTGCATATCGCCAGATATGTCTGTTACTGGATGCTATGGACTCATCAAACGAAGACCCCAACGGTCCATCCACCTCGGTGTTTAGCCATGTTCATGGTTATGCGGAAGAGAGAGGAGGAGTATAACACGTATACAATGGTAAAACGACCGCAATAAAAAAAGGCAAAAACAGGGTGCAAAACGGGATTAAAACTGGGAACAAGCGGAAAAATTACCAGCAATTGCCAAAGACGATTTGGTCAGTACCACTCTAATCGATCCAAGATATCGTGGATCAGAGTAAATTTGACAATAGTTAAGTTGCTTTGCAAGGGTGTATTCAAGCACTGTATTCCACGTTATTTCAACTAAGAACTCGATCAGTATGACAGCCAAAAATGGAGTTACCGCATAGTACTCACTGGATTAAATGGTCAGGCCAGTTCCGTAGTTGGCGGGCAGACCTTATTCAAATGCGAACTAAGGCTTCAGTTCTGAACTGTGAGATCTCGATGGCCGAATCTGTCCAGTTATCCTGGGAAAATGTTAAGGCATAACTTATGGAGGTTTCCACTCGCTATATTGCAATCATGAGAAAAATAGGTTTACGGGCACAGCCTCCGTGGATAGATACCACAGGCAATACCTAATCAAGAAAAGGTCTAGGTGCTGTCGAACCGACCAAGCATCTCCATTAACCAGTACCTATTATAGTTATCGAGAGATTAGAAATAAATATAAGCAACATCTCATGATTGTCCGTCTCCAGTACGAGCAGGGTTTAGCAGACTTGGCCGCAGCTAATCCCAAGACGTTTTGCTTACGTTAAAAGACGCAGCGGAGCAAAATTGTCTATACCAGTGTTATTGCGAGCAGACGGGAGCCGTGTGCAAACTGACTATGGCAAGGCCTGTATACTTAGTGATCAGTAAACTAGGGTCTTTGCACTGGAGACCTCTAGCACAGGTTGAATTGGTTGCAAGTGTTCCAGGTAATACTTGCTTAGCTGAGACGCAGGTCTTCGAGCTACCACAAGGCAATAATCCCTCTAAAGCTTCCGGTCTTGATTCAATTCATCCGAAGCTGTTGCATAAATTGGCCACTAAGCTGAGTTGTCCGCTCACATGCGTGTTTTCAATATCGCTGGACAGCTGCAGCCTACCTTCGGAATGGAAGGAGGCAATCATCTGTCCGACTTTTAAGGGCGGTGACAGCGCTCCGCCGGCGAATTACGGGCCTGTCAGTTTAACAAGCGTAGGAGTCGAGTCGTTTGAAAAGCTGATAAGGGATTCAGTGGAGAACCACCTGAATCGATTCAACCTTCTCAGTGTTGCACAACATGGATTTCGCAAGGGATTTTCATGTCAGACTAATCTACTTGTAGCTCGTGAAAGCTGGACCGAAGCGGTAGAGAGTGGCTACGCTGTAGACGTGCTATCCTTGGACTTTTCGAAAGCTTTTGACACTGTTCCTCATCTTCGAATCTCACTAAAGCTGAGATCTTACTCGATATCTGGTCGTGCCCTTCAATGGGTATTTGCTTTCCTTGAGGGGAGGGAACAGGGCCCACGGGTGAGGCGTAACATTTCGCTCAGGAAAGCTGTCCTTATTGACGTCCAACAGGGCTCGGTTGTGGGGCCGTTGTTGCTCGCGATCTATGTAAGTGACTTGCCTGGAGATCTAGGTGTGTCATCAGTAATGTTTGCTGACGACCTTACACTCTGGGATATTGTGGATATCCCGGGGGGTCCTGAGTCAATTCAGCGTGCCTTGGATAGGCTCTGGGAATGGTCTACCTTATGGTTGATGCCCATAAAGAGGGCGAAGTGCTCTGTTCTCCGAATCGAGGCTGCTAGTCCTCCCACCCGGTATGTTGTCGGCAGTGGTGAAATCCCTGTTTTAACTCTGCACTTCATTCTTGTGACAAGTGGAATCCTAACGGCCAAATTGTTTGTGAAGTTATTCTCGGTATTCGTCCGACGCCACCTAAAATATTGTGTCCAGGCTTTTCTATCATGTCTTAAAAGAGACGAAATGGACTTGGAGAGGGTGTTACGAGTGGGCATTCGGTTAGTGCAAGGCCTACGAGGAGAGGCGTATGCTGAACGCCTGCTCAGTTTGGGGATATACTCAATGCACTACCGAAAGATAAGAGGGGCATTGATTCTCATTTATGGTATTTTGACGGGTAATATCGGCCCGGAATTGTCAGGGCTATATAGTCCCGCTACATTACCTAATCTCCGCGGTCACCCACTGAAACTGCTTGAACCACGGTCTGATAGGATTAGGAAGTAATCTCGTCTGTCGCACCGAGTTATAGATCATTGGAATTCGCTTCCAGATCACATGCTTAGGGAACTACGGTTAAGGGTTTTACGCTCCAGCTCGATGCTCTTGGGTGCAACACCAAACCTTTCCTTTTTCTAACTTACCTTCACTTTTCAGTTCTTTTTTGAGTGACACAAATATCTTGTTATTCTGCTTGCTTAGCTCTTTCCACTTCTATTTTTGCCTTCCGAGCTTAATTTTTCCTGTTGCCTCATTTAACTGGCCCAGCAGGGACTGCTAGGGCAGGATACGTGGGCATTAATTGGTTGGACAGGGTGTGACACGGTCTTTGTTTTAGTTCCAGCAGTATTTCAAGGTCTGCCAACTTCTTTTTCAACGACCAGCTGAAGAAGGAACACTCACGGGATAATCCTATTGTTCCAGTCGCGCTTGAACTTGAAGTTACCTTGTTTTCGCGGTCATTCCATGAAGCTACATGAGCCACATTCCAGCCGGCTCAAAGCGGTAACTCGGTTATCGGGTAGAGATATCGTGCGCTGGAACTCGCTCCCAGAAAGTATAGTCAGTGAAACTACGGTTAAGCGTTTTGAGTACCAGTTAGGCGCTCTTGGGTGGCAGCACGAAAAATATCTCTTTCCTGGACCACATCAGTCTTCCAAGTTTTATTCCATTTTCCGTGCTTTTTCTCAGTAGTTGACATTATCCTTCATTAAATTATCCTCCGCCCATTTACCTTGCGTTTTCTTTCCAAATGTTTATTACTTCACGTGGCCTGCACAGCGAAGACTGCTATTACGGGAAATGTGGGTAGTAACTGGTTAACCAGGGTGTGGTTCGGCTGTTCCGTTTTAGGTTCAACAAAATTTAGGAGCACATTTGGCTTTCCTGGATCGAAGATCTGCCTAGGAAGAAAGACTCCGGGACTATTCCAGCCCAAGTTGGACCTGAACTTGAGGACGTTCGAGTTGTTCAGTCCGTCTCAACACCGGTTCCGCAGAGGTTATTTCTGCCTTACCAATTTGTTGGGCGGGCAATGAACATTGATTGGTTACGGGTAAAAAAGGATGTGTTTGACAAGTCCCGTAAAATGGTTGGAGTCTAAAGTAAAAGTGAAAGGATCAGCGAATAATTAACTCATCATTTTAAGCGTCTACCAATTTGAATGCAGTAATGCATAACGATAGTTTGAAATGGAAATGCGATGTGCACATACAAAATAGTTTATAGAGCAGTAACGCTGGGAGCAATAAAAAGGGAAATGACGGTATGCACTCGTGTGTCGCTTCATTTGACCGGTATGATAAGTTACTCCATTTTAGATACATCCGTACTGCTCACATGGACACTTATGCTTCTATCCTTAACGCCAAGTTGCAGAGAGAACCGTTGAGCCGTTATTTCATCTTCCGAGAGAAACGAACTTCATCAAGTAATGCAAGTTGGATAGCTTGTCATCAAGCCCTTTTTTGAATAGCGTTAATGTGGGGGCAAGGATGACGTGAGTCGGAAAGTCGTTCCAATCACGGGACACACGGAGGGAGAAAAGGTTTCATCGGCAACCAAGCTGAGTGTAGTGCGTAACCAGTTTGAGCTGATGGACTCTCAGTTTGGTGTTTTGACTCAGCTGCAACAGATTGTGATGTGTGAATTGGGTTCGTCAGTATTAAGCAAACCGAGAAGAGGTCTCATCGCTGCCGTCGATATTCATCACTGTACAATCTCAGGGACCGCAGTCTGTGTTGGTAGGAGAGATGAAACTATCTTCTAACGAGTTTGGTTGCTCTACGTTGTGGAGCTTCAAGTGCATCGATGTCGCGCTTATGCCAGGGACCCGTCGGATTGGGACGAGACAGTAGATGTGCCTTTCTTTGGCTTCACCAAAGTATTCGACACCATTCCATATTTCCGCCTGCTGTGCAAACTGCCTTCATATGGTATGTCCGGTCGAGCACTATAGTGGATGATGACATTTCTGTAGGTAGGTGAAAGTGCGTTCGACTAGGCTCGAGCCTCTCCTCTCGACAATTGGTTCTCAGTGGTGTTCCGCAGGATGTAATATAGGTATCGACCGGTTAAACACTGCTTGAACGCCTACTTGACACCCTCGGTTTGTAGCTGCAACTCTTCTCCCTTCACATCTTGGCTGAATTACAATTTTCCATTTCCGTTTTCGTATCTTGCTTCTCCTTGTTTATTTTACGTTTTATTGTTTAGTTAACTATTTTCTTTTCTTCCGTTTTGTGTTATTGCCATTTCGCGTGACCAGGACAACGTGGTCTGCTGGTGCAGAACACGTGGGCATTGATTGTTTGAGCGCGATGAGATTCACGACCGCCGATTATTCACTCTCAGGAAACAACTCGATTCGCCCTCAACGTACACCGGATCAATTGCACTTTCACGATAGAACATCCATGGGATTATCTTATTGTTCATATCACTTTTGAAATTGAACTACGGAATTATACAACTGACATGGCAACTTAGCACCTCGAGTGGAGTAACTGTGGTCTTGAAACACGCCATCACTCTAGGTGTTTGACCATTGATGTTTATCGACTGGAAGTATTTATTCACATAATATTTATTCACATAGCGTGTGCTTTCAATGCTAGGCCTGATGCAGTTTCTTATGAAACGTTATTATACATGCTTGGAAAGTAAGCCTCTGCTCACATTATATGTTGGCATGCGTACATCCTCCATCTCGGTCGTCATTTGCTTAACCAACTTGCATGATATTTTTGGTGTTTCATTACGAAGACCCAATACTTTCTACGAAATAACGTCGGTCATAATTGGAATCTCATCACCAAGAAAAGAAAAAAATATTTTGAAGGTGAGGGACGGTCCAATTACTCCCTCGATACTGATAACGTTGTGTCTATTGTCTAAGTGGATACAAAATCGAATTCATTGCTGAAAACTTGGCAGCAGATAATTTCTTTGATACAAAACCAGTGGTATGCTTTAATTGTTTGCCACACGGTAATGCATTTCTGGCAATCAGTGAAAAAAGAACCATAGGAAAATAATTTCAAGCGTCCCAGCATTCTTCAGATGAACGGTGCACTTACTTTAGAGCCAAACCGTGAGCTCGTTTTTGAAGGTGTCAGCTTTTGTATTGCTCACAATTTTTAAGGTATACTGAATAAGCCCATATCATCCACCGTCCGCCTGACCAATCTCAACTACGGTGAAGTTTACTTCCACGTTCAAGCTGCATCAAGTGATCTCCAGATTCGTCCGGATTCTGGCATTCTTAAATACAGAGAGAAGGAAGAGATAACAGGTAGTCTATGTAACGTATTGCATAACTTTCATTTTTTAGTCTTCTGGAAGCCAATGGAATGGAACTATACAGATGTTTTACGTGATCGCATCATTATAAGATCATCAAAGATGTACGTCACGCAAGCATGTAAACATGGAGAAATGGTAGGTGTCCAAATATGGGTAGACTGGTGGTTTAGTTTCTGGCTCCTCATGAAGATTCCATTCAGAAGATAGACACCATCCTCAAGCCTGCGGTTGGTGTACCGGGATCGGTGTTGGCGGTAAGCTGTAGACGGTTTTAACTTTTGTATCCACACTATGATATTTTGGCGTAAAGCTTTCTATACAGGGATACATGCTTAAATCTACACAGGTTCCCATTGTTTGTCATTATTTTTCTCCAGCAACCCAACTCGTTCGACAATTGCCAAACTATCTCAATGACACCGATACTGACTGAACTCGCTGAGCTACGCCGGGAGGTTAGACGACTGCAGGTGTGTTGCTAAAGGTGCATTATCCATTTCACAATTCATGTGTTAGATTTTCTTTGTCTCTCTCGTCCCACTAATTGCCCCCACTGCAGTCATTCATGCCGTACTGCGACCAGTAACACCATATCGTTGTGAAATGTAGACAATGAATTAATTACCACGCGCATGAACTGGTACATAGATAAACGTGTTCATTCCTCTTGATTACTGTCTGCCTATTTCTCCGCGAAAGACACTGATCGTTGCTGATTTTACTGGAACCTTGGCTACGCGGACTCGATGTCGTGTGATCATTTTGCCTGTATGATTATGCAGATCTGTCATCTAATTTTGCCTCTCGCACGTGTGACTTGGTACAATGAATTCTGTTGTATCATTCCCCCTTTAACTTAGGGGGTGACGTCAAGTCAACTTAATCCGCGTTTTATATGCCCTCGATTGGACGTATTTTCAGCATTTTATAGTAGCTACTGCGGATGCTCTAAAGTAAACCGCATTAAAATGGTCAAATTGACAGCATGAAAAATGGTATTAAGAGCACAATGCTCACTTGAATGAGTGGTCCCCATTCTGCATCCTCTTGACAGTAGATTGTCGAAGTCCAGTGGATCAATCCGATCGAAAGTTCCTCAATTCACAAATTGCCCAGTATCCAGAAGTCCATTTAAAACATCGACGGAGGACAGCACTAGTGAGCTTTTAACTAGTCTAACCAACCGAGTCAGAGACACCTACAAAGGGGGTTTTGTGCGACACCGTCCTGGAAATATGCAATCCAGTAGCATTTCATGAGATGTTTAAAGGGATTTTAATCTGAGCGACATTCGTTTCGAAATTCTAGGATATGCAAATCTGCTTTTATTTCCGCATTTTGCTGCTTCTATGCTTGGTTACTCTTCCAGGGGTCTGTAACTCAGCTGAGTTTCACACGAACATCCATTTGCGAGTTACTGAAGTTACAACATCAGTAAGCATTCTTTAGTGCAATCAGGTGAACTACATTTTTCCCACATTCCTTTGCATTCCACATTAGCGTGTGATGTCAGGTTGTGTTCACTTTATAGAGACAGACCTTTCCCGCAACCTGTGTCCAAGGGTCTAGGAGACGAACACTCAATTTGATGTTACATTTGCTTGTACACATCCGAATAACGGTTGCCTTCCTCAGTGAGGGGAGAATATTTCAGAGATGCAGTATCTATATTTCTCTCGATTGCACATAACTGCAAGCTTATACTTTACGTAATCAGCAATTGTATGTGACATGGATGGACTTAGCTGTGATTACACAGAGTTGTTCAACAGTTTCAGATGTGAATTTAGGTTGCACGGACCTAATAAAGATACATGAAATTCGCAATTCCTCGTTGGCTTTTATGTGAATAAACGATTTCATCCCTCCTTATTGCCCCCTCCAGCTTCCGGATTCATGCTCTCGTTGCAGAGGTTCGATCAGTGCGACTCGAGCAGAGCTCAACCAGCTACGCGAGGAATTGGAGCAGCTCAAGGAACGCGACAGACGGGAGTGATGAACCGCAGTTCATTTGTATTCCAGTTAGTGCCCTAAACGCATCCATGGTCGTTTCGTGTTTTTGTGTAACCGAGTAGAGCCCATGAGTAGTTCGGAGTACTATGGAAAAGCGAACAGCGTCTGCATGCCTATTCTGTGTCGACGCAGTATCATCACAATGTTTTTCCGTGCGCTGAAATAGCAAATTTATTGCAGTTACAAAACAACCGCTTAACATGTCCCGCAGATACAAAGAATAAACCTAGAAATCAATAATCGTTCAAGTGGAAATAAAACGATACGAGTATCGTGGGGGCGTTCCTTCTTCAGCGGGTAAGTGAATCAGAAATCGATTAAGGGACAAAAACGAAACCGCAGCACACCCTGATCAGCCAAGTACTGTCCACAGGTTCTTCACTAGCAGTCCCTGCTGGGCGGGTTATGTGAAGTAAGAAAGAGGAAACATCATCATCATCATCAAACACGTTAGCTAGAGGTGGGGAGCACCTCAGCTACTGTGCCGCAATACAAAGATAAAAAAGGAGAGAAAAAAACAACTGGTGCAAGCTGGCTGAGCTACCGGTAACGGATGGGCATCGTTCCGGTAAGCTACCAGCCGGCTGCTGTGCAAACAAAAAGAAAAAAAATATTATGCAAGATTATATAAAGCTAAATAGTGAGATCGTGGTAGGAAGGGGAGGCTAAGAGGGATGGGGTGGGACAAAGAAAGTCACAGCACGAACGCCACTGAGGTCGGCTCCTAGCCATATCTGCAAGTGTGTCCAACCAAACGTGTTCATCGTCCTTTGGACCCCAACCAGGGAGCCGAGCCTCTCCAACCGAGGCCAGCTCAGAAGTGAGGGCCTTCATTCCTCTGGACCAAGTCATCGCTTGGCCACCCCTCCTCTTCTTCCATCCACACCCCGGCGCGCAAACAACACACGTCGCGGAAGTCGGTGGGCTGGCATGCGTAACACGTGGCCGAGCCATCGGAGCCTGATGCGTGAAATAACGGTACTGAGCGGTTCAGTTCCTTTTCCTGTGCCATAAACAAGGCGTCGAACACGCTCGTTGCTCACGCGGTGTTCCCACCAGATGTGAGCTAAATTGCGAAGGCACCGGTGGTCGAACGTAACTAGCCTCTTCAGGTCCGCTGCTTTAAGCGGCCAGGTTTCACAACCGTACAGTAGGGTCGAACGTACTGCTGCATTGTACACTCTACCCTTCAGGTTGAGAGTGATGTCGCGCCGGCGCCATAAGTGGCGAAGGTTAGCAAAAGCGCCTCGAGCTTTTGCTATACGATTCGTGATTTCATCTTCAATCCCACGAGCACTGATACAACTTCCCAGGTAGTTGAATTTTTGAACGACTTCTAGCTGATCCCCACCAAGGGTGAGCGTAGGAGGCGGTCCAGACCAATCTTGGAGAAACGCTTTGCACTTCGAGGGTGCGAAGCAAAGCCCAAAGTGTCGGACAGCTAGTGCTAATCTGTCCAGTGCCGCTTGGCACGTTTGTGAGCTGTCACAGATCAGGACAATATCATCAGCAAGAAAGAGGAAACAATTTACTAAGAACGCAAGAAGGGGAAAGTAACTAGAAAATTATAATGGTAATATACCTGATTAGGGATAATGGAAAACAGGAAGCTGAAGACGAGTCAGTTAGGAGAAAGCAAAGCTTTGGTGTTGCCACCCAAAAGCATCGAGCTGATGCGCATAAACTTTAAACGTAAGTTCCATAATCGCGTGATCTGGAAGCGGGTTCCAACGCGTTAGAACCCTGCGCGACAAACGAGTTTGTTCCCTAATACGAAAATAGCGCGGCTTTTGTAGTGTCAACGGGTGATCGCGGAGATCAAAATACGGGATACGGTTATCCCTGTAAGCCCTGCACGTACTTAGTAGCTACTCATAAAAGCCCACTTCAAGTCCCTTTACCCTGGCTAGCAAATGACAGAATGGATGCATCAATGTCCTGGTGTGCCCATCACTGTGAACTCCAAGGAGAGAGCCACGGGACGCTTGCGCCTACAGAGGGACCATGGGTGGGTTGCGTTGCAGCACCCATACACCCCGCCTCCAGTGCAAACCCGAAGTAATAAGACCGGGAGGCAATTGGATGGGAGCCACGATTATCGACGGTTCTAGGCCACACTACTTCAAGAAGCAGAACAGAAACTTTCCTGTTTAATTGAGAAATCATGCGTACCTGACGTACACAAGACGGTGGCTTGGCGTAACTCGTTCCACACAGGATTGGACCACTCTATGAATCTGACACAGACACGAGGGCGGTGCACTTAGTCCCGTCCAACAACGATCAACTGTATCTTGGAGCCAAGATAGGCGAAGTGATGGGAAAACCTGGTGGACAGGCCTGGTTATAGTACTTCAAGTGGGGTCGAAGCAATACCGAGAACGACTTCAAAAGTATAGCTGCCCATAAAACTCCGTAGGATCGACGTATTAACCACCTCATACGGAGCGCTCTAACTGCAGCCTTTTGCCATCTGTCGCCAGAATCGAGGGCGGATGATTGGACGACATCTAAATCCACCTGCTGAGTGCAAACAGGGACTTCGCCAATGCCGACAACATATATTGTGGGAAGATTAGCAGCTCCAATTCCAAGAACGGAACACTAGACCTCATTTTGGTGCATGAATCATAAGGCAGGCCTATCCTAGAGCCTGTCCAAAGCACTCCAATTTGCCTCAGAACACCCAGGGGTGTCCACGATATGCCAGAGGTTAAGATCTTTAGCAAACCTTAGCGATGTCACTGATAGATCCCCCGGCAAGTCATCTACATAAATCGCGAACAGCAAGGGATCTAGTAGCAAGCCCTGCGGTTTGACACTGTAAGTGCTAGTACAAAGAACAATGAATTTATACGGGTTAAGAAGCGTTGCTTTACAAGTCCCGTTGGTTAGTTGCTGGGGATATCAACATAACAATAATGATGATAAGGATAGTAAAATAGTTAATACTTTAAGTATGAAAATAAGGACTTATCGTTTGCTTCGCTGCAGTCCTGCGATCCTCTTAGATTCACAGCATCCACAGTTAACAACAAATAATTCCATGGTAAACTCCAGATGTAGGATGGAGACGTAGTGTTAAGTAACAAAGTGTAAGTTGATGAGTGCATCGTCCAACCGTCTTTTAAATACTGTTAGTGGGGGTGCAGAGACGACCGATTCTGGGAGAGCATTCCACGGGTGACAGACACGGATGGAAAGGAAATTTCTGCGGCACTCCAGACGACTGTATTGTTCTGCGAGTTTTAATGAGTGGCCCCTCAGGTTTGTATTGCTGCTGAGTTGCAGTAAAGGACGGCACACATGATGTGGGTCTCGCAGAATCAAGTATGTCATAATCAGGTCGTCTCGTAGCCTGCGATAGCTTCCACTGAACAATCCCAGTCGTCGCAGCCTCTCCTGGTAGGAACGATTGCGCATTCCAATTACGTTCTTAGATGCCCGGCGTTGTGGCTGCTCCAGTGCATTAAGGTCGTGTTTCAGCCATGGATGCCAGGCTTGAATTGCATATTCGACATGGGGGGCGAACATACGCACTGAGCATTTGTCGAAATATGGAGCTGTTTATTAGTCTAAACGCCCGCCTCAACAGCCTGACGTGTTGGTTTCCGGTCTTCGAGGCCTTTTCAGATTGCCTAGAGCAACCCAAGTCATCTTGAACCAGGACACCCAAGTCACGTTCGAGAGTTGATTGTTGCAGTACATCCGTTCCGAGTCGGTATGAGTAGCTGCTTTGATTTCGGATGGAAAGCACCTTGCATTTACTGACGTTGAAATGCAATAAGTTTTAGGTCGACCATGGATACACCTTATCTAAATCACTCTGAAGCACATGTTGGTCGGCGTTCGGCTGGATCCTGCGCCAGATCTTGATATCGTCGGCAAACATTAGGAAGTTTGAAGCGATTCCTTGTGCAAGGTCATTAATAAACACCAGAAACAAACGTGGACCTAGAACCGAGCCATGCGGCACACCACACTCGACTTGTATGGGGTCCGATAAAGAGCTCCGAACTCTGACCACTAATTGCCGTTGAAATAGAAAGTTGGCGATCCAGCTTAAAAGAGGGTCCCCGATCCCGTAATGCTGCAGCTTGGATAGTAGTATCTCATGGTCTAGACGATCGAAAGCCTTGGAAAAATCCAGGTAGATCACATCAACACCTTCTCCAACTTCGGCTGCCTCGGTCCAACTACTGCGTGCAATGAGTAAATTAGTTGTACATGACCGCTGTCGACGGAAACCGTGCTGTTCATGAGTGATGAGGTTGCAGTTTTCCAGATAGCACACCAGTGCATCGGCAACTATGGATTCCATGATCTTGGAGAGTATAGGGAGAAGGGATACTGGGTGGTAGTTGGAGGGATCAGTTCTGCTTCCATCTTTGTGAATCGGGCTTATTATTCCAAGCTTCCACATGGCGGGAACTTGATTCTGGTTTAAACAGCGCTGGAAAAACTGAGCTAAAGGTCCTGCCAGTTGGTTTGCTGCTGCTCCCAATGCCTCAGGACGAATGGTGTCGACACCCGGCGAGCTGTATTTGCGTAGAGAAGTCAGCTTTTGCAATACAGCCTCTGCGGTAAAATTGATGTGGGTTAGTCCTGGTGAGCAGAATACAAAGCTTGGTAGATCGCTTGGTGGCAAGACTCATTGAAACGTGGGGGCGTGTTGCATCTGCAGCGCGTTTGCAGCTTCCATAGATGTTCTTGTTGGGCCATCAGCCGTCTTGAGTGGAGGAAATCCTTGCCTCACCTTTCGTAGGCTATTGATGTGCTTGTACAGCAGTTTGTGGTTAGCACTGAAGGTTTTTGCGATGTTCTGCTGATAGGCGGCTTTGTCTTCTCTTAACAGTTGAGTGCAGTGGTTACCTTGGGCTACGTCGTTGTCCCACGTTTCTGGTGCTGGAGCTTCTCTGTACACTCGCCATGCTGCGTTGCGTACTGTCATCCATTTTCGGGTTCTACTCCTATCGAAAGAAA